GGTACAATGGTAATATTACAAGTTGGTGGGTCTGGGTCGTCGGCGTCTGGGGACCCAGGCTGGGACCCGCTGGGGGCCTGTGGTTCGCCGGGTTCCCCTAGGTGTGGGCCCCGCGTGCCTAGGGGGACTGTGCGCCGTCTTGTTGATCATCAGGGCGTGGCCGAGTTGAGTCGTGTATATTGGCGCTCTGCCAGGTCGCCGCTTGCTGTCATCAGTGGTGATGACGGGGGCACTGTAGCCACGCCAGCCTTGGTCAGCGGGTAGGTGAGGGGTACTGTTGCCACACTCCGGCTGACCAGAGGCATGGGCGGGGCACTGTTGCCCTGGTCATCAGTGGCTGAAGACTCGTCCCATCGTACGGCCTGGATGGGATGGGAGCTGACCCGTGGCTGGGTTGCGGAGCACGCCACGGGTGAGCTGGCTTGTTGGGGAAGCCTTGGTTGCGCCGGGTTCGGCTGTCTTGTACTGGTTGTCGAGGCCGAGTCAAGGTGCCTGGCCGGGTCGAAGAGTTTGGCCGGGTCGCGGGGCCTGGCCGGATCGAGCGACCCGACCAAGCACATGCCGGCTTGAGGGGCGACGCCGGGCCCGTTGTTTTTGAAAAATATCCGGGTTCCGTTGCCTGCCCGGGGTTCATCCCCCGACAACACATACGTGTCGTTTCCCCTTCTATCACTGGGATCAAGCACCGTAAGATCAAACCCATCACAAAGCACCTCTTCCCATTGCAAGATAAATAGATCAAGTGCCAAAGAAAACCCAAATATCGGAGAAGAAATACGAGGCTATAATTAATCATGCATATAAGAGATCAAAGAAGACTCAAATAAATTTCATGGATAAAAACATAGATCTGATCATAAACTGATCCAACAAGCACACATCAAAAAGACTTATGGATCTGCAAGAGACCATTGTATTGAGAATCAAGAGAGAGAGAGAGAAAGAGAGGAAGCCATCTAGCTACTAACTACGGACTCGTAGGTCCACAAATAACTACTCACGCATCATCCGAGAGGCACCAATGGACATGTTGAACCCCTCCGTGCTGGTGTCTAGATTGAATCTGGTGTTTCTGGAACTTGCAGCGGCTGGAATTGATTTTCGTCGACTCCCCTAGGGTTTCTGGAATATTGGGGTATTTATAGAGCAATGAGGCGGTGCGGGAGGCCACTGAGGTGGGCATAACCCAGCCGGGCGCGCTTGGGGGCCCAGGTGCGCCCTGGTGTCTTGTGCCCCCCTCGGGCTCCATCTCTGGTACTTCTTTGGCCCACTGGATGTCTTGTGGTCCAAAAAATTCACAAAAAGTTTTGCTCTGTTTGGACTCTGTTTGATATTGATTTTCTGCGATGTAAAAAACAAGCAGAAAACAGCAACTGGCACTGGGCACTATGTCAATAGGTTAGTACCAAAAAATGATATAAAATGACTATAAAATAATTGTAAAACATCCAAGAATGATAATATAATAGCATGGAATAATAAAAAATTATAGATACGTTGGAGATGTATCATTGCCCTTTCGCTGCGGCTGATGACTCAACACTGTGCATCTCGGATCCAAGGGGTCATAGTCACCCACTTTTTTTATCTCCTCCTCTTGCTAGTTATCGAAGGGGTCAATTAGTATAAGAAGAAGAAGAAGAAGAAGAAGAATATTAAAATTCCTCCCACTTCAAAGGTAGTTCCTCTGTTGTCCTCATCCCTGATGTCCTTGGTGATATGGTGAAACTGTTGATGTTACTTGCTCTAATAGTACTGAAAGATATGCCATTATTCATGATCTAGCTGATAGTGCACTTTCTTAGAATATTGCTTTTGCTTACAACAATCTAATGATTTCTTTACCATAATCTTATGATATCTTTTATGACTTGCATTAATTCCGCTAAAAATTATGTTCCTTTTGAAGTGTCTGGGAGCTTTAGTTGCATGATGCTATTATACATCTTGAAATTTCTGAATGGACTGTTGTGGGTAAATATAAGCACCACCCTAATATACATAATTATTCTAATGATATAGGACTAATATGTAATGTTAGGGACTAGTCGTGTAGGATGTACGAAATCTATAGCAGACACTAATGTTACTGATGATGTGGAGTTTCTGGGGCTACATGAAAATAAAAAATAAACAATTTCTCCTTGTTTCCTTCGTTTCATTTCTAGTAGCTTTGATTTTTCTGGGTCTCTCTTCGTACTAAGGGGACCGTTGGGGCTATCATAGTATGGAGTTTAGTGTTGAACTTTATGATGTGATAGAAGCAACTATGTTGCCTACCCTACTTGGAGGTGATTTTAACTTGGTTAGATTTGCAAAGGAATAAAGTAATGAGGTGGTTAATCATCTGTTAACCCACCTTTTTAATTACCAGGTCATATACATGGATCTTGTTCGAACTTAAACTTGTCAATAGATATTTTACATGGGCCAGTAAACCTTATCCTTGATGCCCTAGATATTCTTTTTGCTACAACTGGTTAGGATCAAATACGTTAAATTTCTCAAAGTTTCAACTAGGGTTGTAAATGATCCTTTTCTTACTCTAGGTGATTCTAAATTCAGTGCCTTTTTTAGACATGCTTATTTATTTATTTTCAAGTTACATCCACTGAAACTTACGCCTTATTTAAGTTCCTAGTCCATTTTGTAACAAAACCCTTTAGTACAGCTCAGAAAACATTACACACCCAATCGCTACTTTTGGTCTGTTTTCTGAGCATGGTCGTCATACAAATCTTATCCCATGCTAACCTCCATCATTCTTTGCTTTTAGTCCTACTGTCTTTGCAGGTTCTACTGACATCCTCTGTCAGTTTGGAAGTGAAGATAGCAAACATTTTATCCCTAATAATAAGAAGGGTAACTTTGAATAAAAGCATTGCCAACAAATGAAAGTGGAAGATGGGACTCAAAGTAAACTACTAATTGATATTTCACATCTTAAAATATGAGCACAACCTACTAGTACACTTTATGCAATGTATAATTATCTATTTGGCAACACCTCAACTTTAAAGCTTTACACTCAAGATATCTCAGCCAATTTATTTGCTACATTCATATACTCTCTAGAAACACTACCAAGTTATGTAGATACTTAAGCATAATATCTAAAATGATACATACAAACACATTATGTAGATCAAGGGCATGCATTAACTCATAAGAGAACCTGAAAATGTTTGTTTGTTCAAATTAAATGGGAAATCATTATAACAAAAGATTTTGTCAAACAACCCAAATTAGATAGTACAAAAAAATGCAAAAAATTTAGTTTCAATTAACACTATATTTTTGTAATCATAAATATTAAAATTGTAAGGCGGATTGTATCGTAATATAAATAATTATTTTTGCCTTGTTAATGATACTATTTCTGCCAAAATGCAGTTGCTCATACGGTACATATGAAAACATCATGCATTAAAGGCGAGCTGAATTATTATAAAGTAAAAAAGTTGAGTATAAATCTTGTTCCGGAGAACAAATATTTAGATTCAGTCGAACTTCGTCGGTGCATTGACATAGTCTAGAACCGCCTAGAGGAGATACAACAGACTCGTGTGACACTTGGGGTGAACTTGTTGGTGTATTGTTGGAGTTGGTCACGGGCCGTCGAGTTTCCTTCAGGAAGTCATTGCCAACCTCCAGACCAAGCTGTATGAGATGGATGACAAGTTCAAGAAGGTATTTCTTGTAATTGGTGCTCAACAGGTTCGTGCATAGCTTGGGGATGGTGAGATTGTGCATGTCGTACAAGGTGTTTGTGGCGCGGTCGAGGAGGCAAAGCTTGTACTTGTTTTGGATTTCCCAACACTTCATGGTGACCTTGTCCATCTACTCCATCATGCAATGCCCGGAGCGGAGGGGTGTCACACCCGTCACCACGGCCCGAACTTGTTCCTCGTCCATGTTGTCGCTGACTAGCTTCTTGACATCTTCGAGTTTACTGAGTTTGTGCTCCTTCGCGACTTCAATGGCGTCTGTCTCCGCTTGTGATCCTTTGCAGCTGCAAATGCAACATTCTTTAGAGAACCTCACACAGTCCCAAGTATCTAAATCGAGACTTCTTCATTTATATTGGCCATGGAAGCAATATAGAAATATCTCTTTGTTAGAATCTGGCATGTAAATTTCGTTGTTCACATTGTTATATATACACACATGGAGAAAGAATCTTGTCCCATATGAATATGGGTTGATCTTGCGGGTGTTTCACCGCTTTAGCCATATCATTCATATCCAGACTCCGATTGCGTGTTCTTCACCTCGCCTTGAATCTATCAGCTTACTCTTGATCATCACATTGGTTTCCACATCATTGGCCAACAAACATTCGGAGGAACATCGACAACCACCACGCGTCCATCACCCATGACTACGTCATCAACAATGACCACTTCACCTTTTGACACCTTCACCGGAAGCAAGGCCAATACCTACTTCGTCAAGGCTAAAGGTGGCGTGAGGTATCACTCCGTCACAAGCTTTGCCTTTCACCTTGCCATTACCTTCTTTAGCCATTCTACCGATTTCGTTGATCCTATTGAGACTAGCTATTTGAGTATTGCCACCATAGTGACATTTTCATATACATCATTGCTATCTTGAGCATCGCATAGTGAGCATACATCTTTTGGTGTTCTTGAGCATCTATCATTGCTATCTTGAGCATCATGTACATCTTCATCATCTTTATCGAGAAAAATGTACATCTTCATCATATACATCATTGCTATCTTGAACATCATATACATCTTCTGGTGTTCTTTGTACTAACTTGACAGTTAATGAGTAGATCGGAAGTTTTCCCGTAAAAAAAAGTAGTTTGCACATCACTTGGTATCTTGTGTACATGACTAAACTTATAGAGAATTTCTTTTCCCTTTATTTAGAGTAGAATCAGGAGAATTTGTGGACGGACGTGTTCATCTCAGTTCATGTGTACAGCCGATTTCCTCTGCATCATGTGGTGAGAGGCCAGAGGGTACAGCTACTCAGTCCCTGTGCAGGGTGAAGCTGTCGTACACCTTGCCGTCGCTGGACCGCCGGTACTCGAACTGGAGCGACCTGGCGTCGGACGCCGTGAGCTTGCCGAAACCGTAGTCCATCTCCCGGTACACGCTCCACGGCGGGGCCTCGGCGGTGAAGCTGCTCAGGTGGCTGCCGCCGCCCCCGACGACGACGTGGACGGTGCCGTGCCCGTCCGGCACGCACCTCTCCTCGTAGACAGGGCACGTCCGCTCGTACTGGTGGACGTGGCCGTAGAAGGCGACGTCCACCCGGTGCCACCGCCACAGCCCCTCCAGGCTCTGCCGCGCCATGGGCTCCGCGAACGCCCCGTCGTAGCCGTAGAAGAAGCCCGAGGAGTAGCCGAGGACACGGTGCGCGATGAAGACCAGCCACGGCTGCTTCGCCCGGTCCACGCTGCCCAGGCAGCGGTCGAGAAACCTGTACTGTACTGCTCCGTGCCCTCCCGCCAGTCGTGCTCGCTGTCCGCCACGCAGAACCGGAACATCCCGTAGTCCATGGAGTACCAGTAGTTGTCCCTCTTCTCCGTCGGCGCGTAGTATATGGTCTCGGCCGGCACCCCGCACTCCCCGCCGGAGTCCGTGCCGTTGTACAGCGACCCGCTGTTGGGGAAATCTCGCTCGTGGTTCCCGCTGCAACGTCGGTCGATCACAGAGTCATCCAAGTTATTATCAGAGTGAAATGATTCTAGATCATGAATCTGAAAGAACCGGACGAACAAGTGTACCCTTGCGATCATGTAGGGTACTCGAGAGGTGATTGGCTCGACCTGCTGCGTGAACTGATCCCACTGCGACAGATAGCCGTTAGCGTAGGAGATGTCGCCGATGTGGAACACGATGTCGGTGTTGTCGAGGTCCCTGATCAGCGCGTCGGTGGTGTTGAGTGACGCAGGCTGGTAATTCTGGTACTCGTTGCTTCCGTCTCTCTCGTCCTACAAACCAGGGCAGCAGCATATGTAAATTCAGAAGGATCGCCCATTTGGCACACCTAAAATGTCTACGACAATTGCAACCTGAATTAGCAGGTGTTGTCAACCATATGCTTACCTTTCCCATGTCACCGAAAATAACAACCCGCTGCAGTGACTTTTGCCCGGGATAAGGAGGTGCTCTGAAGGATTTGGGCTTGCCCCATATAACTTTTCCACCATGGAGCGTGTGTGCGATTTTGTAGTAGTATCTGCAAGAGAGAAACTGCATTGTCAGACCAGTATTTGTATTTCTCATAACTGAGACAACTCTTTGTACAACATAGGGCTGGAATTTACTCTTTCTCTGGTGATAGATTCTTCAGGAAAGCTGTGTGTATGAAGCCTGGATCCCTCCAACCAACACTACGAGCAGGTTCTCCTGCGCGACCAAAAGTACAAATCAGTTAACAAACATTCAGAACCCAGTGTACTTGTCATGGCTATCGGACAGCATAACACCGAAATTTACTACTAAATGGAACCAATTCAAACCAAAATAGGATTGCGCAAACAACGTCAGCAAAACTAAAATGCAAAGAGACTGTTACAGGCATCATACCACAGAGGCTCTCGCGACCAAAGGTGACAGTGTCAGCTGTCGCGTGCACAGGATGGCTCCCTTTCATGCCCCATTCAACAAAGGGGTGCGCCTCACTGATGCCATACCCACTTGACCATGTGACAGTCATCTAGCATGACATGGCAGAAACCCACCCACGGTTCAGGGAAGTTTTAACAGCAGATATATATAAACGATATGAAGTGCCAGCAAAACCCCACCTCGTTCCATGTTTTCCCGAGCGCTAGACGTGGGTAAACCGGGGCTTTCGGGTTCGCGAAGACGATCCTGTTCGACACCGCCACGAGCGCTGGCTGCAGATGGATTGGATGAAGTCGGTGTGATTCTCTGAATGATGGACAGATAGAAAGTGGATAGAATAGCAAGACGTGATGTGTTGTTAGAGCATAATTGGTTTGATGCCAACATTTGACATTGCCAAATTTTGGCAAGCCAACATTTGCCAAAAGCAAAAGTTGCCAAATATTGGCAATCTTTTGTGAGGTTGGCAAGAAAAATTGGTAGCCAATCAATCATTAGCCAACATTGGGTATTTGCCAAATATTGGCATGCCAACTTTTGGCATCAAACCAATCATGCTGGTTGATCACATTTGAGAGTCCACCGGTGAAGAACCCGAAGGAGAAATCCTGGCGCTGGTTGATCAACTGAACCTGAGAGCCCCTTGCCCTGACTTGTTATAACCTGACGAGTAATTCGCAAACTGATACTGAAACCAGCACAAAGAAATAATTCAAGTCAAGACTTGGCACTCCCATTCAAACTCTGAAGAATGTGAAGATTGCTCTGCTCAGTGTATATGGCACGCACCTTTATTGGCGCCGAGCAGATCGCAGGGCCAGGGCCACGTGGACGCGCTGCAGGAAAGAGCAAGAAGTAATCAGATGAGGGGGTTCATCACTCGGTCGGACCACAGTTGAAAATCTGAGCATTCAGAAAACGGAAATGGACTAGAGCAGTTTCATACTTGAAATTGGAAGGGAGAATACCCCGATCCAGTCGCCGTCGCTTGCGCGTGGTATTTTGAACTCTACGGTTACCCAAGCAGTATCTGCGCCCTGTCCTCCACAATATCGTGTCAGTTTTTTTGGTACATGTAGGGGGGAAAAAGTAGGACCAAAGAAATGAGGTAAACGGGAATCAGGCTTGCATAATCACGCGTGCATATTCCATGGAATGTACCATCAGTTTGACCTGGGGCAGGGCAGTGGGCACGCGCGGTGTAAAGGCAGAGCGATAAGAGTGGGCGCACGTCAGCAGTGGAGGAATATCGACGACACGGCACGTGACCATCTCTCTCGCTCCATGGGTTGACTTGACTTGAATAATGGAGGTACATGCACGATTGATCGATCGATCTTTGGCACTTTGTACCGAGGCGATTGGGAGGACGGAGGATGCACACACGGCCAGGCTGGGTGCGTCGAGAAAACGGCCGGCCGCCGGCAAACCAAGCATCCATCCCACGTCGACTGGAAGACAACTGGCTGCTAGTCAGCTAGTGCGATGTGTTGGGCCAACTGGCTAAGGAAGTAAGGATGAAGGATGCATATGCATGCCAGGGCGGGAATGAAAGCGACATGCTTCATCAATGCGCACGAACGCTCCAGAGCTCAGCCGGCCGTGCAGGACGACGGCAAAGGATCGAGTTCCAAGTTTCAGAGTAATATTTGCGGAGTTTCTCAAGAATCGGAACGACAATAGCTCGAAGAGTACCATGTTTGTGCACAGTACAGCTTCTACTCTACGTGCTAGAGCTAAAGCAGAAGCAGGCGCTGCCTACGTACCTACCGGCCTCCAGAACTGACAACTGTGGACATGGAGTGGCCACTGCTACTGCTAGAGCTAGTAAAAAGGGGCAAGGAAAAGAAAGAGGTGCAGGGAGGAAGGTCCAAGGTGCTGCGTACCCGCGAGCCGAGGAGGTTGGGCGACGCGCGCACGGCGGCGGAGGCGTCCATGGCGACGCGGGCGCGGTGGATGGCGATCCGCGACAGCGGGTGCACACCGTGCCCGTCGGCGCCTCCGCCCCAGCACGCGGCGAGGGCGACGGCGAGCAGGAGCAAGGGCAGGCACGGGGCGAGGCGGGCGCCTCTCATGTCTGCTTGCTTGCTCTTGTGTATGAGCTGGGAACGGGCGGCCGGCTTTCCTTTCTTTTATGGAAGAAAGGAGCAGGGCTCCGTGCCGCGACAGGAGAGAACACGACTGCGCCTGCGCCTGCGCGAGAGAGGAGAGGGGGCGGGTCGACATGGTGTTGACTCTGCAACGTGTTAGGGCGGCTTTCCCCGGTTTTTTGTATTTAACCAGAGGAGACGGGATTCGGGGTGATGCGTCCACATGACACACGAGAGTTTTCCACGAGGGCTATGTCGTTACCCACGTAAAACCATCTTCACAACAAATGTGTCGTTATAGTTCTCCCTTTAAAACATCCTACTTATTGCAATAACCGCATTTTTCGCAACAGAGGTCCTGCTGCCAAAATTTTGGCAACAGAGGTGTTGCTGCAATTTTTATTTATTTTTTTGCAACAGAGGTGTGGCTGCAAAAAATATATATATTTCTTTTTTGCAACAAAGATCCCGTTGAAGAAATTTCCTGCAAGTCAGGATGTGCTTGTTGCTATTGACTTCGTTCTAAAGTTCACATATGTGCTTCTGTTGTTGACTTCGGCACGGTCTCTTAACCTTTCCTCATCGACGTCCTTCGGTACCTGGGGCTCGGAAGATGTTGGATCGAGTGGATTGTCATCCTCATGTCCACCTCCAGCACGGGGGGTCCTCATCAATGGTTCCCTAGTCTCCAATCGCCCATGCCTGCGGCCTGCGCCAGGGAGCCCCCATCTCCCCCGTGCTCTTCACGACAATCAGTAAACTTGCACCTATTCGTTCCCTTTTTGGTCATTTGTTGAAGATGCTCAATTTTTTTAAGTACGCAAAAGATAGAAGGTTTAGAGTTCAGGCCAAAGGCCAGATTACAAAACATCATTCTTGTGGCATAAAGAGCATCTACAACCAGGCGCCCTATATCCGTCTCATACGTCCGGGCAGGCTGCCCGATCACTGACCGGTCACAAAATACCTACCCAACCGGAGCTCTCAAACGGGCCTCAAACGCCAGACTGACTGGCACCCCTCATATCCGTCTCAAATGTAGGGCGGGTATGAGGCGGTCCGGGCATGCCCGCCATGTCAGCCCGGCCCACCGCTGGCCCATCGCGACCCCACAAAAAACCCCGTCCGGCAGAAAGCCTAGCTCACACAACTCCGCTCCACTCCCCTCCCCTTCCCGACGCTTTCATTTCCCAAATCTTCCAAATCCTTAGCGCCGGCGAGCATGTCCAACACCGACAGCCACTCCGACGGCAGCTCCGGAGACGAGGAGGAGTTGGCGCTCTGTATTGCGCTCGAGCGCTCGCGGGTCAATACGGGCGGCAACTTCGGGTCCGGTGCGACGCCCCCTGTCGCCTGTCTCGCCAGCGCCGATGCCGGCGCCGGCCATTCCCGCCCCATGCGCGGATCTGGGAGGCCTGCCAGATCTGCTCCTCCCGCCCGACCGCCTCCTCCACCTCTGGCCGCTGCTTCGCGCGAGCAGCGCTGGGTCTAGTGCCCGCTCAGCCGACGCCATGGATGCGGACTCCAGAGTCGGAGGCACGAGTGCTCGCTGCGAGAGGCAGAGGGCTAGGGAGAAGGCGGGCGGGTTCGCCGGATCTACGCAGTCCGCCCGCCGTCGCCGGGTGCCCGACAAGGAGGACCGTCTCTTTGAGTGGGCGTGCCGCCAGTCACTGACTGAGGTGGAGACGAATGCCCGACGGCTCCGAAGGGTCAACGCCAAGCAGCTCCGGCTCGGCATTGAGCAATCCGAGCGGGATCGGAGGCGGCAGAGGCAGCGAGGTAGGCGACGAGGGTGGCCAAGCTCAAGCACCGGCAAGACCGCGTCGTCCGGCGCTTGCACGGCTTCATCGTTATCTCCGATTCCTCCTCGTCCTATGGGTCCGACATGGACCCACCTCCTGTCGCGGATTCCTACAGCTGCGCCGGCGACCGGAAGGGCAAAGGGGCGGCGCGGAAGTGGTGAAGATTCGTCTTTATTTCATGTTTTTAGGGTTAGTTTGAACTTGTCCGTAGTATTATGTGAATTATGTGAATTTTGGCTATCTATTTATGATCCGGATGTGATCTTTTGATGAACCGATTGTGCATTTGTATGTCCGCTCATGATCTAGATAGTTTTGCTCAACGTTGCATGGTTTAGTATGAAAATAGGGGACGGAATATGAGATACATAGGTGGGGAGACGCGGATATAGGGAGTGTCCGGTCAGTGTCCGCGGACGCGCCCGGCGTGTCCGTGGGTATTTGAGGGGCCGGATTTTCTGAGTTTGGCTGTAGATGCTCTAATGTTACATGAAATGCTTGTTGGAAATATGCCCTAGAGGCAATAATAAAATGGTTATTATTATATTTCTTTGTTCATGATAATTGTCTGTTATTCATGCTATAATTGTGTTATCCAGAAATCGTAATACACGTGTGAATACATAGACCACAACATGTCCTTAGTAAGCCTCTAGTTGACTAGCTCGTTGATCAATAGATAGTCATGGTTTCCTGACTATGAGCATTGGATGTCATTGATAACGGGATCACATCATTAGGAGAATGATGTGATGGACAAGACCCAATCCTAAGCATAGCTCAAAGATCGTGTAGTTCGTTTAGCTAGAGCTTTTCCAAATGTCAAGTATCATTTCCTTAGACCATGAGATTGTGCAACTCCCGGATACCGTAGGAGTGCTTTGGGTGTGCCAAACGTCACAACGTAACTGGGTGACTATAAAGGTGCACTACGGGTATCTCCGAAAGTGTCTATTGGGTTGGCACGAATCGAGACTGGGATTTGTCACTCCGTATGACGGAGAGGTATCTCTGGGCCCACTCGGTAATGCATCATCATAATGAGCTCAATGTGACCAAGTGTCTGGTCACGGTATCATGCATTACGGTACGAGTAAAGTGACTTACCGGTAACGAGATTAAACGAGGTATTGGGATACCGACGATCAAATCTCGGGCAAGTAACGTACCGATTGACAAAGGGAATTGTATACGGGATTGATTGAATCCTCGACGTCGTGGTTCATCCGATGAGATCATCAAGGAGCATGTGGGAGCCAACATGGGTATCCAGATCCCGCTGTTGGTTATTGACAGGAGAGGCGTCTCGGTCATGTCTGCATGTCTCCCGAACCTGTAGGGTCTACACACTTAAGGTTCGGTGACGCTAGGGTTGTAGAGATATGAGTATGCAGTAACCCGAAAGTTGTTCGAAGTCCCGGATGAGATCCCGGACGTCACGAGGAGTTCCGGAATGGTCCGGAGGTAAATAATTATATATAGGAAGTCAAGTTTCGGTCATCGGGAAAGTTTCGGGGGTCACCGGTATTGTACCGGGACCACCGGAAGGGTCCCGGGGTCCACCGGGTGGGGCCACCTATCCCGGAGGGGCCCATGGGCTGAAGTGGGAGGGGAACCAGCCCCTGGTGGGCTGGTGCGCCCCCCTTGGGCCCCCCTGCGCCTAGGGTTGGAAACCCTAG